TGGGACTTAAGATGGACGTAAGGCAATGGCCTGCTGTGTTGTTTGGTAACATCAGGACTGTGCCTTTTTACTTGTCAACCTTGGGCTTCTCAGCCTCAGCAGCCAGCAGCTGTCTGAGTGAGGAAATTCTTCTAGTTCCAGTGGGTCAGGAGCAGGAGGCAGAGCTGGACCCCAAGGTTGAGGGGCTTTCACCCAGTGCCTAGAGCCTGGCACTTTGAACTTGGATTTAAAGCCACCAGACTGTAAGAGAATAAACTGCTGTTTGTTAAGGCCATCCCATTTGTGGTATATTCTTGTCAGAGCGGCACTGGATAACCAGAACACTCTACTTCATGAAGGCAGGGCCAATGGCAGTCTTACTGGGGTATCCTTAATGCTTAGTACAGTGCCTGGTACAGAGTAGGTGTTTAATAACTATATGTCAAATGAATGCATAAGGTAGACCAGGAAGAGATTTGAGGATTTGGAGCAATTACTGAAGATCTAGATATCAAAATCCAGAACTAGGAATGAGAACTGGTCCTATAGGGTTCCGAAAGTGGGAGTACCGTACTGTGGAGCTGGGGTGGAATCCTAGAATGCAGACTCCGTCCCATCTCCTTTCCTTCCTCTTCATTTTCTACCCCACACCTCCTGGCCCTCTTTCCCCAGGGCCAGAATCCCTTTGTCCATGTCTTTCTACCTTTTTGTCTTTGGGTCATTGCTCTTCCTTGATGGTCTGACCATCTGTTTCCCTGTGTTTGTTTCTCATCCTTTGTGCCCAATCTAACTTTCCTCTGTCCCTTTCTTCTGCCACTTTTCCTCTTCTAGTCTCTGCTCTTATCCACCTCCCCTGTTCTCCCTTATTCCCTTCTTGATCCCTTCTGGAAAGCTTCCTTCTTTGTTTTAGTTTCCTACGGTGCTTTCCCCATCTCTTCCACGTGCCTCTGTCTCTTTGCCTCCTTAAAGCCAAATCTCTGTGGAGCATTTGACTTGTTCTGCCCTCTGTCCTAGCTCTATATTGACGATGTCCTTAGCTAGTTTCCCCATCTCCCTTCCTCTGTTTTCTCATTCTTAGGAGCCACCCTGGATTCATTATTTTGATCCTCATTTCTCTGTCCCCAGATGTCCTTGAGGGAGTCAGTTCTAGTATCCATTTCCCAGCCTCCCAGTTCCCACTCTGGGCTGGACTCCATCTCCCTGGTCCCTGCTGGCTGCAGCAGCCTCTCCTCTCTGTGTCCTTGGTCTTTCTCTCTGGCCCAGCCCTGGACCTGTCTTCACTTCCCATCCTTCTTTCCCTGGTTAGTGGCACCTGGTCTGAGCCCCGGATGGCTCAACTTGCCTGAGCTTGTTTAGTCTGACTCCTTTAGCCTGTTAGCAGCTTAGCCCTCCCACCTCTCCTTTGAGCCTACTAGTAAACAGGAGGATCAGTGCAGACCTGACAGCTGCTACATGGGGACAAGTGTCTGGCCAGCCCAGACTATGCATGAAAAGGGGGCTGCACCCAATACTTCCTCTTCCTTCTCCAACCAGGGAAATCCTAGGGTCTCTATCCTGAATGTCTGCCTTAGAGCTACATTCCCTGGCATGTGTGTGGCCTTCCCTGTCTCTGCATTCCCCATTCCATTTCATGGCTCTTCAGGCCGTGGGCTCATTGTTTCTTCAGAGAAAACAGCATTAGACCCAGGCGTGCACAGAGAGAAACTTTTCTACTTGATAATACCTACAGTCTCTGCTCCACAAAATGCAAACCTAGGTGTGAGAAGAGGGTGATGTCATCTGATGTAGGTCTTCTTATATGTGCTAGAGAGCGTACATACACATACACACCAGGGAAAGTTGGGTTGACTACAGGCATTTCTTAGACTAGTGATTCTCACACTAGTGGGCATCAGAATTGCCTGGAGAGCTTATTAACCTATAGATTTCCCAACCCCACCCCCAGAGTTTCTGATTCAGTAAGTTTGAGGTGAGACCAGAGAATTTACATTTCTAACAAGTTTCTAAGTGATGCTGATGCTGCTTGTCTGGGGACCACAGTCTTAGATTTCAGCTGCATCTGCCAGCCCTTCACCCAACACCTAAGGCTAGGCTGGGACCAGGTTAACATATATAACTGATGACCTTCAGGGCTGATGGACACCCAGGTCTCTCTATGGGTTGAGAATAAGGACTAAGTTAACCCCATGGAAGTGTTTGAGTATCCTCAGAGGGTAGGGAAGAGACTTTAATTCTTGGAGTCTTATTCTAATACAGACCCTATTTAAACAGCTTCAGACAGGTTTAAACATCTTGGCTAATTCCTAGTATCTCTTTTCCAACTCCTACTTGGAGATGATAGCTCTAAGAGGTGTTAGGGGATTAGGCTGAATATGTAGGTCACCCCCCAGCCATCTGGAAACAAGGATGGCTGATAGAGGAAGAGAAAGAGACAGAGACACACAGGGAAAAGGTGAGAGAGAGCAGAGGGCACATGAGGGGAGATATAAAAATGCCTTGGCTGGATTGGTGGTGTTTAGATTTTTGAGGGCAGTCACAAAAATGCCATGTCTGGATTGGTGGTGTTTAGATTTCAGTGTTCTGCAGTATCCTGGAAAGAGGGAGCAGAGTCCCCCATTTTCTCTTTTGCTCCTCCTCCCAGGCTGGGTTGTCTGTACTGGGGCTGGGTCAGCAAAAGCGTGAGAGGCTGAGATTGGTCGGTCAAGTCCTGGAGATCCCTGTGGAAAGGGTTGTTTATTTTTCTGAGGTTTATTTTGTGAGGGGCAAAAGACCCATCAGGTTCAGGGTGCAGCAAGGTGCATAAGAGACACCTCAGGCCATGAGAGTGGATTGGGGAGAATCTGTACTCCCTAAAGACAATGCCATGGAGGATGGGGATGCTGGGAGCTTGTGTGGCTCTCTCTCCCATTTCCAGGTTCTGAACAGCTGAGGGCTGAGGGTTGTGTTCATATGGAAAAGCAGTGGTCAGAAGCCAGTGTACTGAGCACATGTTAATCAGAGCATCACTGAGGAGCTTTGTTGGGGAGGATACCCCCCTCTTCTTCCTAGAACAGGCATACTTGTCCTCTAGTCTCTTCTCAATCCTCCCCCCCCCCCCAACCCACACACACCCCACAGGCAATGGGATATGCAGATGATACCCTTGCCTCATTGGCTGGAGGGCTGAGGACCACAGATGACCTCAGAGCACTGGCCCTTTAAGAGTGCCCTTTGGGCTCTGTGCACACAGCCCCTTGTTCTGGGCACAGAGACACCAGGCCCTGCTCAATGGGGCCTCCAGTCACTGGGGAAGCTGTGCCTGCCTGGCTCAGACACTGACTATATCATCTCTGCTACCCCTGAAGTGAGTATGTCCCTGGGCACCAGGCCTTTCACCTAGAGACCCTTGCTGTCTACTCTCTGCTCTGGAATCTTCACCTTCTGTACTTTGCCCCACTCCCGCCCTTACTGGCCTATGCCCTCACAGCTATCACATCTGAAAGATAAACAACCCTCCCCGTTTATCTCTTCTCTTGTATCCATTTCTCCCTGGATTCGTCTTTAGTCGTTCTCTCTCAGTGTCTCACCATTTCCTTCCCCACCAAGAACCACTTCCTTAAATCTGTGTCATTGCTCCTATTCTCTCTGTCATCCCAGGGATAGGGGGCAGCAATCCTTTGTTGGGACAGGAAGAGAGAGGCCTTGTGCTTCTTCCAACCTGCCTGGACAGAACTGCGGGTCTGAGCTGTGGGTAGAAAAGAGGGCTACCTAGGCCTGGGATGTCAAGATGGAGTCAAACTCGAAGCTCTGGGGATGAACACTTCCTGCCTTGCCCCTTATGGGGATGGGAATGAGCTGCTGGAACTGGGAGCTAGGCCAGTGCATGGATTTTCAGGCTAGGAAGGCTTTCTGAGGTCATCTAGCTGGGGTTCCTAAGGTATGCTCGAACATATGGTCCATGGTTGATAACATGGAAGAGAGCTTCTTGGTGACAAAAATTTGGGATACTATGTGTTAAAGTTGAATTGAAGGACTTTTCATACTAATATGCTGCTGTGCCTTGTGACTCAGCAAGAGGTGGGCATTGGAGGCAGTATTTCTCAAAATTTGTGAGCATAGACTTCTTCTTGGGTATTTCTCAGAACGAGTGTTCCATAGAACATATTTTGGGAAAGTCTGATTGCCCTAGTTGAACAGAAGAGAAAACTAGGGTCAGAAAGGGGAAAGTCATCTGCCCAAGTTCACACAACACAGCAGGTTCTGAATAGAAGGAAAATCAATCACGGTAAATTCCCCTTGGAGAGGTTGGCCTTGGTGATAGATGGTTACCACTCAGCCCTGGTCTTTCTGGAGTGGATTCTAGCACATTCTCTTTTTTACAATGGAAAGTATCTTGCTTTTATAAAAGGGATTCATTGTCTGATTAATTCATAGAACAGATGTGTACTGAGGGTCTTCTAGGCGTGAGGCATTGGCCTGGGTGTTCTGAGAGAGACAGAGAGAGAGAGAGAGAGATGTACAATAACACATTATCCTTGATATCTTAAAATTCACAACAAATATGCCTCCCACTGTCCTAAAATACACACATACTCTGTCATAGTTAATTAAGCAATTTAAGAAATTGCTTGGGAATGGAATGATGCCTCTTGAGATGACAGAGTCCCTCAGCATGTCCCAGCACTAGGGTTGGTAGCATGCTGTATTCTTGTTTTTCATAGACATTACCTAGAGGCACCAGTGGGGCCAGGGGCTGTGCTGCTTTCTTCCTTGTTAAGGGCTTTAGGTGTTTTGCTCCTGTCAGGAGGGCCCCTCTCACCCAAACATTGGGCCCACCCTCCCTCCGGCAGGCCCTGTCTCTGAGCCTAGAGGCGACTATATAGGGAACAAACCTGCACCATCATTCTGACTTTTCAGAACTTTGGCTCCAGTGCACTTGGACTTTGGGGAATGCAGGTTTTGGTGAAGGGGGCTGGCAGGCACCCTTCAGGTACTCTAGATTTCACCTCTTTTTTTCCAGGTGTTTGCTCCCAACCCTCAGAATGGCACTGCCCCCCAGTCCCCTGGCCATGGAATATGTCAATGACTTTGACTTAATGAAGTTTGAGGTAAAGCGGGAGCCCTCTGAGGGGCGATCTGGCCCCCCCACAGCCTCATTGGGTTCCACACCTTACAGCTCAGTGCCTCCTTCACCCACCTTCAGTGAGCCAGGTGTGGTGGGGGCCAGTGAAGGCCCCCGGCCAGGCCTCGAGGAGCTGTACTGGCTGGCCACCCTGCAGCAGCAGCTAGGGGCTGGAGAGGCACTGGGGCTGAGTCCTGAGGAGGCTGTGGAGCTGCTGCAGGGTCAGGGCCCAGACCTTGCTGAAGGGTCTCAAGGCTACTACTCAAGGAGCCCAGAGGAGGCAGGAGCCCAGCATGATCAGGTGAGTGAGGTGGCTTGAGAGGTAGGCAGCCTGAGAGAGGAGGAAGAGGACAGGCCAAGAGGAAGGAGGGCTTTTGGAGAAGGTTACAAACTGGGGAAAGAGAGACAGGGAAGGAAGAAGACAGGAGAAGGCAAGAAGGGCCCTTGAAAGAAATCAAACAGAGAAAAGTACATTCCATTCTTTTCCCCTTTCTTGAAATGGAGAGAAATTAGTGGGCTGAATTAGAAGGACTAGGGAGAGGATGAGGTTAGAAGAGGACAAAAATGGGGAGGGGTTCAGAATTAAAGGGCACTGAGGAGCAGACAATTACCGGAAGGTAAATAGTCATACCCTATATGAAAACCAGGGATGGTCATGTGTAGAATGGAGTGGGGTTAAGGCTGTGAGAATCCAAAGGAGGTTGGCCTTTTCAAGACTTGGTGCTTCCTCAGTCTCCAACCTTCTCAGGAGGGATTGAGATTCATCCTATTAATTATAGACACAGATGGGGGTGTTGAGGGCATTAGGATATAATCCAAAATCCTTTGAGGGTCACACGGTTGTGGCCTTCAGGACAGGGGAGAGTTGTGTGTCGCCTGTCTGGCCACAGATCCATCGGACGCCTCCCGCCTAGAGCCCTGGTTGTGCACCGCCTACGGGCGGTGCCGGGTTCAGGTGCACATTCAGCCTGCCAGACCGCGGGAGGCGGGGCCTGCACCGAGGGGTGGGCCTAACGAGAAGCTTGGTGTAGCATCCGCCAGGGTGGCGGGGCTGTGGGGGGCGGCGTGTTGGGACCTAGGGCAAAATCTCGACTGCAGGATAAACTAAACTGTAAAGGGCGAGCCTTCAGGGAAGAGGAAGTGCAGTGCAGTCTGGAATCCTGACCTCGGTGTAGAGCGAGCAGACCCGGCGCTGACCCGGTCTCCGCTCTCGCCCTCTGCAGCTGGCCGAGCGGTTTTCGGACGCAGCGCTGGTGTCCATGTCTGTGCGGGAGCTCAACAGGCAGCTGCGGGGCTGCGGCCGCGACGAGGCGCTGCGGCTGAAGCAGAGGCGTCGCACGCTGAAGAACCGCGGCTACGCGCAGGCCTGCCGTTCCAAGCGGCTGCAGCAGCGGCGCGGGCTGGAGGCAGAGCGCGCCCGTCTGCTCGCCCAGCTGGACGCGCTGAGAGCCGAAGTGGCCCGCCTGGCCCGGGAGCGCGACCTCTACAAGGCTCGCTGTGACGGGCTGACGTCGACCTGCACTGGATCCGGGGACCACGCCCACTTCTTCCTCTGAGCCGCTGGATTGGGGCCCCAGGGTGGTGGTAGTGTGGGTAGATGTGGGGCACCGCCCAGGATGCGGCTCCACCACTCACCAGATCATTATCTGGCATCTTGTGGCACCAGGCACTCCGTTGTATGACCGCACAAATATCCCCAAACTTCCTGAACACTCAAGGCACGCCCGGAAGTTAGATGCTGTCATTTTCTGGGAAGAGGTTCCATGACCTCCCCTCCCCTCACACAGGCCATACATTGAAACCTTCCACCTTCTGCCACACTCACATGACCAGACACAGACAGATCTGCAAGGGCCAGTGCCAGGCAGGGCAGATAAACTGAGGGTGGTGAGTTGGTGGAGGGGTGGATGATGGCTGTATGACAGAGTGAATGGGAGGTGTGAGGGAGTGGTGCCCTCAATTTATATTTTTAATTCAAGGTTTTCCACCTATAGTGCTTTAAGGCAGTACTTAGCAACGAGGCTGTATTTTCATTCTGAGGCTTGTGATCTCTCCATTTTAGGACTGTTGTTGTTGTTGTTATGTGCCGTCGAGTCCGCCCCGACTCATAGCGACCCCTCCTTGGGTTTCCGAGGCAGTATCACTACGGAAGTAGGATTGCCCAACCTTCCTTCCGAGGAGTGGCTGGTGGGTTTGAACCGCCAGCCTTCTGGTGAGCAGTCAAGTGCCTTAGGCACTATGCTAGCAGAGCTCCTATATAGTGAGACTTTATCCAAAAGGCTTTCTCCAGAAGTGTCTAGGGTTCAGAGCCTCATCAATGGTCTGATGTACAAGCTTTAGGGGTGGTTGGTGTGGCTGGGAGAGTGCCTTGGGCGGGAGACTGGAGACTGGGTGCTAGTCTCACCTCTGCCACAGGATCTCTCTGTCACCTGGAGCAGGTTCTAATCCTCATTTGGATTAGATGACTTCTGACACCTTTCTAGTTCTGGGACTGTCTGATTCTAGTGTGGGAGTCCCAGTGGCCTCTCTAAGAATCTCCCCAAATGGACCTCACCCAAAGGACCTCTCATCCTGCTTCAGCATCATGAGAGTGCCTAGGCACTGGGCTAGTGGCCCAGGTGAGGATTCGTGGCTGCTCCCGAAGCACTTGCACTGCTCCTATGCTGCTTGCTCCAGGCTGCCTTGGCCTCCAGACCTACATCAGATGCCCCTGTGACCTTCTGCCTCTCCAATAGCTGAAGTGAGACTTTACCCAGGATGAGAAGAAGCTGAGAGAAAGAGCAGCTTTTGTGAATTAAGCTTGAAGTTCAGGCAGAACTCTAATGCTATTGGCTAACTGCTTTTGCAATTAAAGAAGTATTCATTCTTTATTACTGCTCTATGCTACTTTTTTTTTTTTTTCCTCTTCTTTCTCTCTCTCAAGAGAGAGATGTGAAGTGGGTAGCCCCTACCTGGTGCTGAGTTGCTATCTCCTTCTGGAGTGCCCATGAAAATGGGGTGGAATGGTGAGGATTGGACCAGATGGTGCCTCCCCCCTCCCACTACCACCACGTGGAAGCCCTAGAACAGGGGCCTAGCCAGGCCTGCCTGTGGCTATCTGAGAGGCCTCACAGTTGCTATGGTAACCCAGCCCTCTCTGTCAGCAGCCTAAGGGGGATGGTGAGTGGAGCTCTGGGCAGAGCAGAAGTACCAAGCTGGAGAAGGCACTAAGCTGGGAGCAAGCACCCCTCACCAGCCACTCCTGGTCCTATAAGGGACATAATAAATGGGCAGGTGTGGGGGATGAGGCTTCCATATGTCTCTCTTCCTTTCTGCCCCCTCCATTCACCCCCTCCCCAGCTGTCTCTTCTCTTCCCATCATAGTTCTTGTTCCTTCCTCCCCCTCATCTAGCCCAGCTCATTCCCCCTCCATTCAGGAGCCTGTGATGGGAGTCCTCTCACCATCTTTCTTGGAGTTTCTCTCTTCTTTCCTCATCACATCTGCTACTGGCTATTCTTCCTGGCTCTAGAACCTCTCTCTGAGGGACTCACGGTGTCTCTTCATTCCCCTTCCACATTCATAGTTGAAGGGAAAGTCTCCTCTAGAAGCCCAGCTCTTCTACCCTCCATCTGGATCTGCTCTCTGGACCCCCTGCTACTTTTGCATACCTTCCTTTCCTGGTTGAGGGCTTGCACAGCACACATGGCAAAGATGCCTATCCACAGGCGCATATACCTGAATACATAACCAGGACACATATATGCACATCTGAATCTTGAGATGAGGATTATACAGGTACACATCCAATAGATGCTACACACTACAGTGATTAAGAGTGTGGGTACTGGAGTCAGATAGGCCTGGGATCAAGTTCCTGTTCTGCCAGTTCTTTGACCATGGGTGAGTTAAAATCAAGCCTCACTTGATTTGTCAGAAAAATGAGAGTAAATGCATTTAAAGGACTTAGCACCAAGTATGACACACTCTAAACAATGTTTGCTATTGATGTTATCATTAAGTGTACACAACTGGGCTTCCTGAATCATTAAGGCCATGTTCATGTACAGAGTCAACGATTTACAGCATACGAACATCCACATCCACACACTCAGGAAACCCAGGGTATGAAGAGCCTGGATGCCTACTCTATGTCCCTGATTCACTAGCAGTGAATGCCCTCCTCAATCCCCCAAGACACTTTCTCAGCCCATCCTACAGCTGTGTGGGGGCTGGGGTTCAGCCCATGGGGGGCTCAGCTGGGCTTATCTGGAGATAGTTGTAAAAGGGCATAAGCCTACCCTCTTGACAGCCCCTCATTACCCACCCTTATCTCCTGTAATTAACCCCCATAGTGTTTGGACTCCCTGGGGTTGTGGGGTGAGGGTGGGGGCTCCTCAGATACCATCTGCACATGGTTGGGGGTTACTGTAAAGACAGCAGCCTGCCTGGGGAGCTTTGCCTCAGATTTCAAAAGGTGCTGGTCCTCATTTCTCACCTCTGTGTGTGTCTGTGTGGGTGGGAGAGTGGTACTACTACAGACTGCCCAGTGGGTATCTGAAGCATGATGGGTGAAGGCTGAGGTGCTTAGAATGATTTCCTTTATTAAAGGCCAGAAAGTCAGGATCACTGAAGGAAGTCACCAAGGGGCCACAAGGCTGAGGGGTGTGGGGCCTGGAGAGGTGGGGGCAGGGCCCATCACTCACTTCCAGGACCCAGAGGAGCACAGCTTGTCCAAGAGGCAGAGGCACTGGTCACTTGAGTCACAAGGGCAGGACAGGCACCTGAGAAGGAAGGATACATCCATAAACACCCTCTGTGTCACACCCAGCCGAGCTGAGCACACTTTACACCTCTTAGTTCCCACCTCCTTGCCTCCCAACCCCACTCACTGAGAGGCTCAGGGAGTGTCGGTGGTTCCGTAGGTGGCGTCATGGGCTAGGGCTGGGAGTAGTGGCCGGCGTGCAAGGCCTAGGAGCCCCAGGACTGATGCCCTGGCTGGCGTAGTACTCCACCACCTGCCGCGGCACCTCGGCCAGGACGCACTTAGCTAGTGCGGAGGGTGGGGCCTGGGAGTGGAGACCGAGACTAGGTTAGGAGCATGAATGGGGGCAGTGAGATCAGGTGAGCTGGGCAGGGCTTCAGAATGGTCAGCTGGGCTCCAGCATCTTTAGCTGGAATCAATCCAGTGGAAGAGAGAGGTCAGATTTGGGGGCATAAGGAGCTGAGGAGTCCTTTGGCTGGAAGGGGGCACTGGACACTCACATCCTTGAAGTCCCGGAAGGGCACGAACTGGACGATGTCGCGGGCCGCGGGCACCCCTCGAGGGCAGCGCAAGGGACCGTCGTCGCCGTCCAGCAGCCGCATGTCCGAGAAGTCGGCATTGCCCACGCCCACGATGATGATGGACATGGGCAGGTGGGAGGCACGCACGATGGCGGCACGGGTCTCAGCCATGTCGCTCACCACGCCATCCGTGAGCACTAGCAGCACCGAGTACTTCTGAAGTCAGGCAGAGAGGAGGAAGGGTCAGCTCTGTGTGCAACGGCCTTGGCGCTGGTCCCCAGCCCAGACCCTGGCGCCACCCGAGAGCACACGAAGGAGGCAGCGCCGGGTTGCCTGCTGTTTCCTCACCGTGGCTTGGCCAGTGCTCTGCTCCCGCTGGGCAGGCTCAGCCACACGATTGATGATGGGGGCCACATTGGTGGGGCCATAGAGCTGGATCTGGGGCAGGCAACGCCGGTATGAAGTGATGACCCCTGAGATCTCTGAGCAGACAGAAGAAAAGGTGAGGCTGGCAGAGATCAGCAAGGAGTCCTTCCTGACACCTCTAAACTCCTCTCTCAGGACAGTGGCGTTAACTAGAATTGGTATCACTCAGTGCGGTAGCTTATGGTGTCAACCCTCATGGATGGGCCAGCTCAGGAATCCCCCTTCCTGGTGGTTGGAGTGCCCATCCTGCCCATCACTTCTCACACAGGGTCAGTTGCACCCCTTGCACCCAGTCCAGTGGCTCCCCATAGTGCCTCCCCTCTTCCATTGGCCAAAGCAGAGACCTTCCTTTCCCTCCAATGGCTGATGCCAGCCTGCACTTGACTGGTGGGTGGTGGTGATGACATGTTACTGCACTGGGTGATGGGGGAGGGGAGGGGACCAGACTGGGTGATAGGTACCACAAAGCCTAGTGACATCACTGCCTTGGTGGCCCATTCCTCTGCGAAGCAAACTCAGTTGCCATGGTTGCCAGCTCCACTGGACCCTAGAGTCATTTTGGTGTCATTGCTCCTCTGACACCGGAAGAGCTCTGGTGGTGCAGTGCTTAAGGCATATGACTGCTCACCAGAAGGTTGGCAGTTCAAACCCACCAGCTGCTCCACAGAAGGAAGATGGGGCGATCTACTTCTATAAAGATTTATTGTCTTGGAAACCCAATGGGGGTCACTTTGAGTCGGAATCGACTCTATGGCAGTGAGTATAGTTTGGTTTTGCTGGCCCTCTGATACTATCAGAGGATTCAGGAATCCTCCCCTCCAAGTTCCTCACTGAGCAGAGGGAGAGGTGAGTGGGCAGCTGCTGGGT